ATGCCATCATCGGCCCTTTTAGCTTCATTTGCTTTTCTCAATGAAGAAAGAAGGGACAAGATGTGTTAAAACTGTAACTTAAAATCACCTTTCATAGACTCATAGAATCTTTAGAGTTGGAAGGAATCTTTAAAGATCATCTAGTCCAGCTCCCCTGCAATGAACAGGGACATGTACAGGTAAATCAGGTTGCCCAGGGCTTGATCCAGCTTCGCCTTGAAAGTCTACAGGGACAGAGCATCAACTATATCTCTAGGCACCCTATTCCAGCCTCATTACTTTCACTGTAAAAGACTTCTCCTTATATGCAATTATAGCCTTTCATTCTTCTTTCCTTTTCTGCATTCTTGTGTGCGTATATACACACACACACACACACACACACACCCTTATATTTACTTGATCCTCCAAAGGGAAAAAAAAACAAGCAGCCAATTAAAAAACAAATGCAGAACACCAAGAAAAACTAAGGGAAAAAAAAAGAAAAAGAAAAAATCCTACACTGAGTGTATTAATACTTTAACAGAATTTGTACTTACAGATGAGCTTCGTAAGTGAATAGGAATCCTGCAGCGTTATGAGTGACAAGATGTATTTAAAAATATCTGTTTCTCACTCTCCAGATTTGTATTCTCTAGATACACGTGCAGAAGTTCAGAAGAAATGTCTGCATTTGAAGACAGCTGGTTAAAACTTCCTAAAATTAACATCTTACAAATGAGATGTATTTGCATATGAAAAAGCAATACTGACGAACAGTTACCACCGTGCATCAAACGCAAACTCTGAGTTCAACACAACAGAAAACCATGAAAAATTCTGACTTGAGCAATATGCCAAGAAACTCAGAGCTTGATCCAAAGCATCCACTGATAACAAGGCTCATGTTTACTGCAATAGGCTTTCAATCACGTCCCACTGGAATCTGATTACCTCCCACAGAAAATGGACCTTTCTCTCCACAGTCCACTGCAGCTGTCTGCAGCTACAGCTGTGCAGCATCACAGAGTCTTTCTACAGAAATCTACATTAATTTCCGATTCAAATTTGTCATGTCCCTTGTTCCCACTCTCTATCCTAGATGATATTAAATGCACAAGCACTGAAGTATATTCGAGCATCTTCCAGGAGTTGCGAGCATAGCAAGCTGAACTCAAAGTAGTGAAAAAATTCAGTGTGGTTTCCAGAAAAACATTCTTCAAATTAGACAATTAATTCTATGCTCCTATAACAAGGAAGAATATCAATTTTTTAATACCAAATACCTGGCATGGCACCCAGCACTTGCACAAACTACACACTCCAGGCAAATTCCAAACTTCTCAAGTTTATTTGGAATCTTCATACCCTTTCACGGTGCCTAGCTTTTCCTCAGTTCAAGCTGTTCAACTCACACTATTTCCAAAACTGCCTTTTCTCACAAAACCTACTTTCAACTGTGCTTCTGCAACAAATCCTCCCACCAACCCTTCCTTCCCAAGCTTCCGCTGCAGTTTCTCCCCAGAGTAGTAGAATCAGTTTATTTTTGCCTTAGCAGCCTTCCCATCAGTTTGTGTACATCCATGAAGAACTCAAAGCAGCAGACTGGCACAAACCCAGCTAAGCTTCTCTACTCCATTTCCAGCAACTGCATTTTTGTGCAAGCAAAGCAACACTGCTTGAAAGTCATGCTAGCTACAAGAGCAAACTGGAAGTCTTTAAGCAAAGATGCTTTGGAGGTCAGCCTGAAGGGAAAGGCCATAGTTTTATTTTAGGAGTAAGGTTTTGAGAAATAATCTATATGTGGACAAAACATGGGTCTCCATGGTTGTAACTAAACCAGATCTGCTCACTGAAAATCAGGCTCCCTGTAGATGTGGAACTCCTCTGAGTACCAGAGATGGAGCTCCAAAGCGAAGCCTTGTCCAAAGCAAGGAAGCCTAAGTGAAATCCTCCATCACGACCTGGAAATCACTATCTGCTTCTCTCACTGGAGTGGTAGAGACTATTTGATTATAGGAGGCAACCCTCATGTTTCATTACGTTGGCCCACAACGTCAGAGGCAGATGTTGGCGGTATGGCAGTAGAAGTAGAACCTTTCTGCCAACATTCCATTACATTTTGTTGGCATGTGACAAAAGGCTGCAGAGTGGGCAATCTGACCAAATACTACCTGACCTGGAAGCGTGTATGAAGCAAAGGTGCATCATTAAAGTCCTGCATGCAGAAAAAAAATGCCCCCACTGACATACACTAACGTTTGCTGAAAGATTCTGGAGACCAACGAGTGGATATAAGCACAGTAAGGCGGTGGGTGGTGCATGCAACAGTGCTGACAGCAGTGTAAAAGACAAACCACGTTCCAGACAGTCACATACACAGATGTCACAGTACAAAATGAAGAGCATCCCAATCAGCTAATCTTCTTGAATCAGTGGATTATAACCCAGGAGTTGTGTATGGAGCTGAATATTGGTTTCAATGCCTTGAAAACAATGGTCACAATGTTGGAATACCACAAAGTTTGCAGCAAGGGAATCCTACAGATGCTCACACAGGAACAGAAAGAACACCGTATACAAGTTTGTCAATATGAGGCTGAAGGTGACAGTTTATTGGATTGCATCATTAGTAGTGATAAGATGTTGTGACAGTGACAGAGCTGAAGGCTCAAACTTCCAGAGTCAGGCAAGAGAAGACAACGACCTCTCCTCTTGCCACAAAATGATGCCAGGCCCCATAGCAGTCTGAGGACTGAGGTGCACTGTGCACCTTGTGGCTGGATCATCCTGCAGCACTCCCATCATAGTCTAGATTTGGCACCTACTGACTTCCCTCTGTTCAACCTGATGAAACATGGACTGCACGGGCAACATTTTCCTAGCAATGATGCAACAGCGTGTCACCTCTGCTGGTGTAGATTTTTAAAAACACAGCATGCAGGCTCTTGTTCACCGCTAATGAAAAGGCATAATCAGTGGTGGTGACTACATTGAAAACAGCGTTATAGCTCAGGATTTGTTCCATCAAATACTGTTGTCTTTGTATCAGTTGTAGTTGCCATGGAAATAAATAGGTTGCTCCAAAAGTAATGTCTCCTAAGTATTATGTGCTTGCAACACAATGGAAAGCACAGCCATTACAGCAGAGCAGCAAGATCCCAGGCTAGAGGAAGGGAGAATTTTCTCAAACACAAAATCTAAAGGCACAGAAATAAAGAAAAGAAGCTGCTTACCTCCAGAAAGCCTCATGCAAGCTGAGATTCCTAGGAAGATACTCTTGCCTCCAATGCCAGCCCTTAAATGAGGGCTTCACCCCTTCTGGTTACTCAGGTGCATTGCATATACCTGAGCTCCCCTGGTTTGGCCCTGCACTCCCACCAGGTGCTCCATCACTGCTTCAAGCCTTGACTTAGCATTTCCACTACAAAACTAACCATTTTGGATTTAGGAGTTTCACTTGTATTGTAAGAGATTTAGATTCTTCTTTTCTTTGATTCATACAAAATGCCTCTTATTCTAATTGTTTGAGAATTTCTGAGCCAAAACCATTTCACATTTTTGTTTAACTAAATGATCAGCCACATTGTTTTAGTTTCCTTTATTGGGTGGCTAATGGTGAACAGAAATAAACTGTCTTAAGGAGATAGCTTACCTCTGCATCAAGTCTGATATGAAAAACCAAATATTTTTGCAAAACGTCATCCAATCTCAAAACATTTAAAAAAAAATTAAAAAAAAAAATTTCACTCAAGCTACTGCTAAGAATGAGTAACAAAGCGAAAGAATAACAAAGTGCACACTGGTCAAGTAATCATTAAGAGGCTGTGTGTCATTTGGGATACAGCTAATGGAGCAACTGTCAGACAGAGAGATGAGCTAGGCACCCCATTTTGTGTTCTCTGCTTTAGTTGTAACGTTATGCTCTAAAACCCAGCAGTAATCTGTAAGAAAGGCAATTAAGCTTGCCCAAGAGCAAGTGTATTTTCCTGGCTCTGCAACATGCTTCACTTGTTATAGCCCATTTTAACAAGCCCATTCAGCTGCATTTAGTCTTCAGAGATGTCAAATGGACTTTTACTCTGGCTACTAGACATTGTTCAAGATCATACATTACGGACAGTACCTCAGTACCATCTAAGCCACTGCTGTAGTAGTGACTATTTTGTAATGTAAAAACCCAGCTGTCTGCTGCTATGTGATAAGTGCTAAAAATGGTACACTGCAATCCAAGCTCCTGTAGCATTATAGCCAAGAGAGGATTACAAATGGAACGACTGTTGTAAGGGCAGGCTATATACAGTTGCATATATGCACTCCAGCGATTCCTACCATGGAAAAGGAGAACAGCATTTTCACTTTCAAGAAAAATTTCTCTCTAGGGTGTACTACTGGTACTTTGCTGCCAATTACTGCTTTCTGGCAATGAAGAAAGACCGTATGCTCATAGGCCATGGCATTTGATTAACAACTATAATATGGAGTCACCTGAGGGAGGAGCTGGGTCATTAACACGAGCTCAAAAGAATCAATAGCTGCAGTGTTGTTTCTCCATAATATTTTGTAGGAAAGCAAGGGAAGGAAGTGGGTTAAAAGAGAAAGGAATTACAACTGGAGAAAAATGACCAGAGCTGTTTTTAGATAGTTCCTCAGAGAGGAGGCAATTCAGATCTTTTGATTTTGGGGGCTCTTCCCTACCTCCCCACAACAGCCTCCATCAGATTACAATTACTAAAGTAGACCTAATCCATGCAAAGAGAAAGATGACATTCACAGGCAAGCATAGGGATATCTGAACTGAAACATCTGCAGCCTCATAAACTGAATATCAGACAAGTATGTAAATGGAATTATACTCACGGGAAACATCAAGAACATCCCAATAATCTTGGAGGGGCTAGGGTTGATGTACAGCCCTGCTGTTAGCTTGTGATCTATCTTTCTTGTAGTTTAACAACCCAACATGCTGAAATGGTAATTAGGAGAAAGAATTATCGGCATCTTTATGCATGCTCTCTTTATGAAAGAAGCTCACAAGTGCACATACAGAAGTTTGATTTAGTAAGTTTGAAGAATACGGACCAGTTGGTACAATTTTATGCATGTTCATCCAGCTTCCAAATAAACCAGATAGGCGGGTAAAATGAAGTATCTAAGGCCAAAACTGGTCCCTAAGACTGCATAAAGGCCACGCTTTATTGCCAGCATTCTCACATTTACTACAGAATACACAGATATTTGGACCAAGGTAGTACACCTGAGCCACCGCAATGTATTATTTTCTGCAAGACAGAGAAGGCTGAGTGAGGTTTACAGACTGAGACATGACAGATTCCTGGGGCACAAGCTTTTCTCACAAAGATTTATTTTTCTGTAGCTACAGATACTACAAAAGAAGAACCCAGAAGAAAACTCAGAAATTCTTGCACTTCTGGCTTGGATGGGAGGTTTGAAACAGTTAGCTCAAAGCATATTAGCAATATTTAGGACCAAATCTCAAAAGAGCAACAATCATTGCCTTCTCCCTGAGTACTGCTTGAAGACTTGCTCTTCAAGATAATCCCCTTCCTCTGCATTCTTTTTCCAATCTTACCCAAATCTAGAGGCTGGAGGAAAAAAAAAAAAAAAAAAAAGAAAAAAAAAAGGCACAATTTGATTCTAATAACATGATCTTCTAAGAAGTACAGGCAATAGAATCAAAGCACAAAAATAAATGTCAGCTGGTTAGTGAGGCACAAGGGCATTCAAGGAGTATCTCCAACTGACAAATCCCTGTTACAGCTTCCAAATAAAAAATAATTGACATCCCCTTTCTCTCCCCCCTACAAAGGAAAACCAAACCAAACCAAAACAAACAAACAAGCAACTAAACCGGCAAGAATGAATCCAAAGGCCTGTAGTAGTTCTCTTTGTGAAGTGTATTTGGGGGCAAGATAAGTTTAAAGATGGAGTTGTAGCACCAGCTGAATTCAGGAGAAAATAAAGGAAGGGAAACAGGACAGCATTAAAAGATGTATCGATGCAGCTCTTCAAAACAGAATCAGTCTATGCCAGAAAGCAGCATTAAGACAGAGAACCCAATGCAGGGAAACCTGGCCAAAGTATTAATGGGCCCCATTAACAGGAGATCAGGCACTGGCTGCCACGTAATTTTGGGTTTTGTAAAATATCCTTTATTTTGAAGACAGGTGTGTTAGATCTTCTAAATTAGGTAGTCAGAAACATACAAGCATGAAAAATAACATCTTGAAGTTACATAGCAGATACAGGAGGTTAATAGCAGGGAGAACTCCCAAGTTCAAGGACCTGATTATCCCCGCTGCAGCATAGTCTAAGACTATGCTGGACAAGATCCTTCGAGCAGGTCACTATAGCTGTGCAATTCCCATTATAACACTAGATGAAAAGAACAGCAACCCCCAAGCAGGATAAAAAAAGAATGTGATCTGCAGCACCTTCCTTCCACAATGCACACCTCACCTCACCTCACTTTACCACTGCCTTTGCCACAGACATATAATGATTAAGGGATCTCAGTGACAGACCATCAGCCAGAACACCATAATGATAAAAATTCTGCGAAATGTCACTGACTCTCCAGGAGAGCTGGGAAGAAAAAAAAAGTGCCTTGTTTTGTTCTGCCTAGTGACATGTTTATTTCCAAGAGCTACAGCGGCATTGTTGACCATGTGTGCTAACAGCAAGGCAATCCTCTCAGGCATTCAAGACAGCGCACGGAGATTATAACTGTCAAGGAAAAATACTCCTTGTGCTACATAATGCATCAAACATTTGGTGCGCTCTTGTTTGCTTCCCCCTAGGATGACATAATAGGATACTTTTTCAAGGCAGGCACCAGCACTGAGGTTAATGGTTGTTCTGTAAATATTCAAGATATTTAGCCCTTTAACTTGAGAGCCAGCTAATGACATGGTCAAAGATATTAAGTTAATTGTTTTCACTAGCAAGAAACGCAGAATCTGGCATTGTTTCCTACAAGTGGCTCTTATACTTTGCATATCAAACTCGGTGTCAAACAGACTATTGTTTGTGTCAGTCTCTACATTCTCCTGGAAGTTAGCATCCTGCAAAATAAAGCCACCTGGGCAGGAGGAGGAGCTAGAAAGGAGGCGTACAGCTGTCTTCCTCGAGCTGTGCAGATAGCCACCCTCACCACAAAGGGACTGAATTTAAGTGTTAGCAGGAAAAAAACAAAATGGCTAAAATTAATTTCCCCGCTTCTCAAAGTACATTGCCTCCCTCACAAGCTTCAAAGCCACAGGTTGTTTCATTGACCCTTTTTCCCTTACATGTAGAAGAAAATTCATTAGGTTCATGGAACTTTAATAACTTAATTAAGATGAAAAATGAGATTGAAGAGCATTGCAGACTCAGTTCAGACTGTTCTTCCATCTTCGTTTTATCTAACCATCTTTGTCCAAGGAAACAGACTAAAATTTTCCTGAGATTGAGTACTTCATAAGGTCAAAAGACAAAGTAATTACTGTTTCATTGCTTTGTTTCCTCTATTCACTTAGAACTTTATACAGACACACGACTCTGCAATGAAAAATCAAAACAAAATTGACTCAACGTTTTTTTAAACCCAAAGAGTGCAGTTGATTGAAGCTTCCTGTAACTACCAAGTTGATCCATATTAAAGTAGGATAAAACTACAATTCCCAAACTTGGAGTAAAATACCAAATGCACTGAAATTTGAGTGGTTATAGAGTCATATTTAGCAGGCTTGGCTTCTACACAAGCCACTCAAACAAGGCAGGTATAAGGCCTTCAAATCTAAAGCAAATTTGTTAAAGAGTGAGGTGACTGAGTTCTGATGGAAGTAAATATATATATATATACATACATATATATATATATATATATGTATATCAGTGGCCAAAAACACACATACAAGAACAGAAAGTACTGCTGTGTAAAATACCCGTAACTAGTTTGTAGGGTGACTGAAGAACTGCTTTCCAGGTCCAACTAGACATCAGGAACTGGGGCTTTTTTGGATTAAACAAAAAACAAACAGAAAAGTGTAGCATGAAGTTTTTTTCCCTAAAGAAACTCTATACATTCTTGATTAAAAAGCATTGAGTAGCATTCCTAAGAGATTGCCAATATTTAAAAATATGTGAGACAGAATGATCTCTGAAATTCAACTATCAAATTTCTTTCTCCCGTGCTTTATGTTGACACCTTTCTCCTGGCCCTCTCTCCTTCCAAGAACAATCTACAAAATACACTTCAAGTCAGTGTGGTTTCTGCTCTTTAAGGCATCCGATTTTAACCTAGCCAGACAGCTCATCTCAAAATACATTTAAAGTAATCTAATAACTAATTTACAGTAAGTCATTTGGAAGTTGCAACATGCCAACAGTCATTACACTGAAGGCCTTGATATTGTACAGTTTTCTCATTTTAAGAAACATAGGAAGTAACTGGCAGTCTAGAGTGGGCTGAGATAAACTGGACACACGGCGCTGAGAACTTTACTCCCATGTTTCAGAGTTCATTAAATCCGTAAGGTACTTATCATCTAACTGTTCTTTCCTTTGACTTCTGTGAAGAGCTGAATCCAACTTTACGTTGATGAAGCTTTGCTGCAAGTAATACAACTCTGAGGTCTCCCGGTTGCTTCTTTACACTTCCTGTCATTTTTACCAGTGTGCATGAAGTGCTAGCGCATAGATGTATGAGAAAGGGTTGTTATCAGTTGTGGTTTAATCCCTCTGTCCACAGACTAACAGTCTTCTGTGACAAAGGTACAAATCAAACCCCATCTCCCAGCCTTGGTAGGGCAATCACTACTGAACAGGATTAAGCCAGGTCAAGTTTAGATACAACTTTCTCACACCCGATGCTTTTTAATTATCTTTCCCTTTGCTAAAGATACCTGTTCCTAAACAGAAGAGACAGAATGAATACCCTTCACGAATCTCAGTGCCAGTCTTGGCAGAAACAACCACTGAGGGCTGAGCTTCATTAAAGGAGCAAACATAACAAACAAACAAAAACCCATCCTTTCCCAGAAAAACAATGACTCCGGATCACCCTATTCACATTCACTGTGTGTTTGTTTTGAAAATACTCCAAAAGGGGCATGGTTACTTATGCCAACATTGCCAAATGCTCGATTACACAAATACTACCATCTGGAGGGAAAAAAAAAAAAAAAAAGAAAAAAAAAAAAGGATTTAGAGGCTGTTTAGCCATAAAGAACTACATTTTAACTCTGAGATATGCGTCTGGGAGTTTCAGCTGGAGAGTCCATACAGCCCTAAGATGGGGGAGCTCCCACAGCTTCTAAAGCTGACTGATGGAGTGACAGCCAGAGCAATTTCCAGAAATAGTGGGCAAAAATCTTCACCAACTCATTTCCTTGAAATAGAGCTGGATTCCTGGCACAAGAGCATCTGTCCTCTCATGTGGAGATGCAATACTCTCTCAGGGATTCTGGGCACACTAATAGAAAACATTTTCACCCCACCACCGGCCACTTACATGTAGCATTTCATACTTTTAAGGAACTTCATACTCATTCCAGATAACACCATGCTCCTGCAAAGCCAAAAAATGATTTTCAGGAAGGTTCCAGCATACGCTATGTAGACAGAATGCTTCTCAGCGTAGGTATTTTGAGCACCAAGGCAAAGTGTTAAGCAATTCTTCCGAAATACTTCAAAACAAGTAGGAGAGTTCACAGAACTAAAAAGAACACCCAAACAACAAACCACTGTAGAATATGACAATATTCAGGCATCAGGCATATTGCTGCTAACTGTATATATATTTGATGTAAAGCAGACTTGAACAAGAAAAGATTGCCAACGCACTGCTAAGTAATACTTAGATGGTGTAAATAAGTATCTTTGAAAGGAACTGCCTCAATATGTCAAGCACGTCCTGCATTTGGATTATACTGGGCTGGGGGGTAGTACTGATGACATCAAAGTTTACACCTCCAGATACCTCTGGACCCTTGAGCTTAAGCAGAAAAGAAACTAAAGTTGTAAAGAAACAGAACCAAAGCATAGGGAAAGAGTCAGCACAGCTGTGGTGATTTGGACTTCTAGAAAGAGCACATTTTAGTGCATTTGATATGAACACAACATCACTTTTGCATTACCCTGGGTCACTGCAAACAAGGAGCCACACAACCTCTGGCATCAAATATTGAGTCTCTGCCATTCACTTCTATTTTGTTTACACCTTGATCTTTTTTTATTCTGCAGCTCATTTCATCTTTTGAAGTCTTTGTTACTATGGAAACAGATGCAGTATTGGTCTCCACACAGCCTGGTGACACCTTAGAGCAAAAAAGAATTAACACAAGAATCTAGGGAAAAAAGGACAAGGATTCATAATCACGAAGGACTGTAGGACAGTCCACTGTCTCCCCTTTAGTTCCATAATTCCCTGCTGATAAAGCCAAAAAGGCTAGCTTACGCAGTTTAAATAAGTGGTTTTGGCTAGTGATATAGGGGAATCCTCATGCATGCACTTAACCATGGTAGAAAATAAGTTTGTGCCACCTCCGCAATTGGAATCAACCTACAGCAGGGCATGGCACAGACACTGCTGGTGGAAAAAGAC